TCCCTTGGTTGTTTTCTTGTACTCTGCTTGTGTTGGAATAATAGATACGTTTCCAGTGCTGGGTGTTGATAACACTGGTGTTTTTGGGTGTAGAACTAAACGTTTTAGGTTCCTTTTAATCCAGAAACCTAACATTTTTTCTATCAATCTTATTTGTTCAACTATCTTCTTGCAAAATACCTATGAGACATCTGGGTTTTTATCAATGTAATGTTGTCTTTTTTTATAATAAAAAAAATTGTAATCCAGCCTAACCAACTCCTTTCAGGGCCCCCCAGGGACTGGGAAGACTCAGACCATACTTGGGATTCTAAGTACCATTTTGCATGCAACTCCTACAAGAGTGCATTCTAAGTAAGCATAATATTTAGTATATGTCTGCAGTCTTCTATTTCTAAAAATTCAGTTTTTTGTTTCAATTGTTGTCTTCAGCAAAGCATTGTGTTAGGAGTGTGCCTGGTAGAAGTGAGATATTGAAGCAAATTTTGTTTCTACCAAGCAATTTATGGTCTTATTTTTGCTTAATCTTTCTTTCTCTTTATTCATACATATGGTTATTGATATTTTCTTTTGGAAGCAGGACCTATGAGCTAAGGCAAGGACCACAATTACCTACTGAGGAGAAGTAAGATTTGCTTTGAAAATATTTAGGCTTTACTTGGTTAAGAAAACTTCTTGCCACCGATGTTGGTTATTTCCAGTGATTCTTAACATAATATTTCTTTTAATTCCCCATATCCGCCATCTTTTGAAATCCTTATCTGTTATGTTCATTATTAGTCTCTTCTTGCTTTGTGTTATGCATGTTTGCTTTCTTGCCATGCCTACCTTCAAGTAGTTCATAAACAAATGTTGTGAATCAAGTAGAAGTGCAACAATAAGGGTAAAATTTGATTTTTGTATTATATCATAAAGAAAATAGCTGTAATTCAAGTTAATGCACTTTTCCTTGGTTTCTCTTTCACTTTAGATGGTTTAATTTTATATCAACATCGTAAGAAGCTGGGAAAATTGTTTAAAGCTTATGACAGTTTTTTGACTTTGGCTTATAGAAGTAAGTGATCTGGATGATTACTTGTTTGATACTTGCGTTATTGGAGTATGATAAGAGAGAAAGAACCTATTGGCTTAACTGTACTTTAGAATTCTCCAAGGTCCAAATAAAGTATTTTGATTAGAATATTCTTGAGGATGTTTTCAAGAAGTTATTTTAATTAAAGTACAATTCTAGATGATTGGAGTATTACATAAGTCAGTTTCTTTAGCTGATTTTATGAATGCAGGTCCATAGCAGAGTACCCTTCCAAAATGATAAAGTTGATTTTAACCTCTATAGTATCTCTTGCATGTTGGCTAGCTCTTTTACCCTTTTTTGTAGAATTCAAGAATAATTTAGTTTGGTTAGATGATGTTCAACAAGAGCCTTGTAATATTTGGTTTCAAAGTACATATCTTGCAAAATTACCTTGGGATGGTGACCACTTCTGTCCCAAGATCAATTAAAATAAACCGCAAATGGGTTTTATACTAGCATTGTTAGTGTTGAAATGTAATGTTATTTTATTATTTCTTTTATATATACATACCAAGCTTGTGTTGCCTCTTTTTGTAACCTTTATATATACATCAATCAAAAGCACAACAGTTTATGTTGAATACACTGATATTTCTCCATCTTATTTATTCAATTGTTAGCAGAATGCACTTTTCATATTCCATCATGCTAGAAGATTTTATTTTCTTTTCCCTTTTCCCATGACAGAAAAAGACATTGGGGACTAGCGTCTCCATGGCTTAGTAGTATTAATCCAAGGGATAGTCTGATGCCAAAAGACGGTGATGATGGCTTTTACCCAACTACTGGAAATGAACTAGTAAGTACTCCTTTCATTGGTTAAAATTGTTGATCTTGCAAAATAACATCTCTAATGATGGGTTTTATCAGAAACCTGAAGCTGTAAATTCAAGTCGAAAGTACCATGAAAGAGTGTTAGTTTGCGCCCCATCAAACTCTGCCCTTGATGAGATTGTGTTGAGGGTTCTCAATGGAGGTATTAAGTTTCTTCAATGCATTTGTTTGGGAAAAAGAATTTTTCTTTTTGCATTCATTCCCTTGCCATGATTTTGACCCTCTTAGTTTTGTGTTTGTGTTAGGATATAATGTGTGCAGAATAAAAGGAAATAGATTAGGAATTAGTTGTTAGTTGGTTAGTTGGTTAGGGGGCCTTTATAAGAAGGCAGGTAGGTCTTGTGTCAGGGTACTTTGGATTATCTTGTAGATTGAGCTTTGGCTCTTTGTGAAGGGGAAACCCTTGGAGAAGGGAGTGCTCTCCTATTCTTGTATTCTTTGGTTACAATAATAATACAGTTCTGTTTCCAGTAATCTGGTGAGTGTGTGTGTGCTGTTTTGAGTGATAGTTAGACTTCTTGACTAAAGAAGCCTAACAAATTGGTCTGACCTGCCGGATATCCTTAGGAGAGGAGTGCTGGATCATTGGGAGAGAAGCGTGATGGAAGGAAGAATGAAGGCTTTGGAGGGAAGGATGGATGGAAGAATAAATGCCCTGGAGGTAAGGAAGGATTATGTATAGAGGTGGGCCAGCAAACAGAAAAGGGAGCTAGCAGAATGGAGAAGAAATATGAAGAAATGAGAGAAATGCTTCAAGAAATCAAGATTCACATAAAGGGCTTAGAAGGAAGTGAGAAATCTGTCATGAAAGGACAGAAAGAGGGTTCAGAAGAAGAGCTGGAGGAAGACAAGGGTGAACAAAATTGGAGGAAGCGGGTAGAATTGCCCAGGTTTGAGGGGTTGGGCCTATTGGGTGGATCTCTAAGGCAGAAAAGTTCTTTGACATCCAAAATGTCCCAAAGAAGGAGAGGCTCAGGTTGGCTTACAAGTGCATGGAGGGAGGCACAATCTATTGGTTCAGGGCCTGGAAAAATAAAACCAAGAACCCTTGGAAAGAGCTGAAAGAGGCATTGATAAGGGGGTTCGGAGGAAGAGATAGAGGTTCTGTTTTTGAGAAGTTAGCTCAAATTGCAGAAGTCACAGAAGCTGCTGCTGAGAACGTTGCCGAAGTTTCTGCTGTAAGGGTGGATAACATGACAAATGTTGGTAGGGAAAATACATCAGGTGAAGATCATGATGGGAAGGTTGTGACTCTTTCTTCTCCAAGTAAAGTTGCAAAAGTTGTTGTTTTTAGTGGAGATAGAGTGGTAGGTTGTGGTGGGAATGTCAAAACAGTAAAGAAAGGGGAAGAATTGTTGAAGGCCTGGGGTTAAAACAGTGGTGTCAAAGAGCAACCAAGTTGAGTCTGTTTACAGAGCAAGAGAGGACCTGTTGCAAGATATCAAGAAAGGAAAGAAATCCTCAGGTGGAGGAGAAAATTCAAGCAATTGGGAGTGTTAGGATATTTATCTTATTTATCATCATTATATTGTGTCAAGGGTTACCCTATTTATCATGATTATATTGTATCTAGGGTTACCCTATTTATCATGATTATATTGTGTCTAGGCTTACTCTAATTATATGATTATATTACCCTAATTATCATGTACTCTTGTATCAATTTATTTTTATAAATAGAAGATTATGAGAGGGATCAATCAAGCCCTCTAGAATTATTTTACAGTTTAATTCTCAAGTGGGAGCAAAAAGAGGAGGATGCCATTGACAATAATGGAGCTAGGAAGGGTGAGGAGACACCAATTTTTTAGTGGGTGAAAAGAGAAGAGTTGACCTCTTATGAAAGGATTGACACCCAAGATCAAACAAACAACAGAGGCAGCAAATGCTTATGAAGTTCAAAACACTAAAGGATCAACAAAAGCACACCCAAACAACAAAGAAAATGTAGTCCAAGGGTGCAAGACTTGACATAAAAAATCCAAGAACCTTTCTTGGAAAAATCTAGCCACAACTCTACTAAAGATAGTTGAAGGGAACAGAAGAAGCATTCTATGTGAGAGTTGGGAAGCAGTAACTAAGATGGGGAGTGTGGAAATTTTACATGAGAGTTTGCAAGTAGATGGAGCATCTGCCAAAAGTGTTGTGGCTACAAGAGCCAATGAAGTCAGAGTTGAGATTTTGAGGATTTCACAAAATTGGACTAAAAGAATCCAGGAAGAGTGGAAGTCATTAGAGGAGGATTTGCCACCACCCAAGCCCCCAGATTTAAAATTGCAAATAGTAGCAGTGGTATTGGATGGTTTGACAGCAATAACAGGGACTGGGAGTGGGAAAAAATTTCATCCAAAAATTCAAGATATGGTTGTCACAAACAAATAAAACACTAGAAGACCAATGGCAGTAATATTTCTTTGCAGGGCTGCAATATAACATTAAGAGGAAACAATTTAGGGTTCCAACCTTGAGGACAAGGTTGTTTTGCAGAGGGGTGTAATGTTAGGATATAATGTGTGCAAAATAAAAAGGAAATAGATTAGGAATTAGTTGTTAGTTGGTTAGTTGGTTAGGGGGGCCTTTATAAGAAGGCAGGGAGGTGTGCGAGTGATCTGGTGAGTGAGTGTGAGTGATCTGGGGAGTGAGTGAGTGATCTTGTATTATTGTAGCCAAAGAATACAAGAATAGGAGAGCACTCCCTTCTCCAAGGGTTTCCCCTTCACAAAGAGCTAAAGCTCAATCTACAAGATTATCCAAAGTACCCTAACACAAGACCTCCTTGCCTTCTTATAAAGGCTCCCCTAACCAACTAACTAATTAACAACTAATTCATAATCTATTTCCTTATATTTTGCACACATTATATCCTAACAGTTTGTAATGGGGATTGAGGGGGGGTGGGGGTTAAGATTTCAACTAGGACACATTGACTAGCGAGGTGTCATTGCTATCTTGGTTGTGTGGCCAGGCCTTGTAATTAACTATTCCATATTATAAGCAGACTGAACTTGACCTAGCAATTCTTGTTTTTTCTTTCTACATTCTCCTTTTGGTCTTTTCTTTAAAGAATTCTGTATTCTATACTGTCTTATCATGATTGCATATTTATTTTTATTCATGGATGTTCTTAGGTGTACATGATGAAAATGACCGTGTGTATTGCCCTAAAATTGTACGGATTGGTCTCAAAGCACATCATTCTATCAAGGCTGTTTCCCTGGATGAACTTGTACATGGAATATTAGACCAAATGTGTTTCAATTAGCTATGCTGCCACCATCATTATATAATTTTTCATATCACTATTGTAAACTTTTGTTATAATGCCATGATTATGGCTCAGCTGGTCTGGAGGGGAACTTTGTTATTGATTTAACGGTTTTATTAACATTAACGCTTGGGACTGACTGATTTGTGCATCTAAAAGTGGTATGTTTTTATTGATAAAGAAAACATTTATAGTTCAAAACTATAAAATGCAATGATTTTTTTCTTTTCCAATAAAAACTTACCACCACTTTTAGATGTTAATATTCAACCCTAAGGGGATGCTGACATTCTCCTGAAATGAATGAAGAGTCTTGATATAATGAGTGATATGAAGTTAGATGAAAAGGCTCTAAAATTTGTTCCTAACAAAACATTGATTCTTTAGAGTTAATTATGCTGGTGAATGTTTTACTAGAACCTGTGAAGTAGGTTATACTTCATTTCTTTTTAGATTACTTTAGCTTCTAATCATCCTTCCTGTTAAACTATAGGAAAGATTGAGATTGAATTGAGATTATGTGTTTCTAATACAACATAGATATTTTATTTATATTGAGAAAAAAGAATCATTACAATAAATAAAAGAGATTTTACATCCTCTAATAATAAAAGATATGATATCTGAATAAATAAAAAGGTTTCCAATAATATGTATATATAATCTATATATGTTTGATTATATAGGATTTGTTCCATATTTCTATAATGATAATATTCCCCCTCAAGTTGGAGCATATAATCATATATGCTTAGCTTTTTGCAAATATACTTGGTCCTCTTAGCAACTTGGTAAATATGTCAACTAATTGTTCACTAGAATGACAAACCTAGTGGTGATATCTTAAGACTCTAATTCTTCTCTTATGAGACGACAATTTGCCTCAATATGTTTGGTTCTATCATGAAAGATAGGATTAGAGGCAATGTGTCTTGCTACCAAGTTGACACATATAAGGTGCATTTCAGAACTTTATTCTAATATAAGCTCACAAGGGACTAATGTCATTGCCATGTAATATGCTTCTGCAGATTTTATCACAAAATTTTGTTTCTCACTTTTCCACATGTTAAATCATTTCAATAAGAACACAATACCCTGAAGTGTCACTTGGTGACCCTGCCTAGTTGTTGTCAGGATACCCAACAATTTGAGTATTTCACATATCTTCAAAATGAGGGCTGGCCATGAGGCTTCTTAATATACTTTAGGATCCGTATGATGACATCTTGATAGGACCTTGAGAGTTTATGTTAAGGAAAAAAGAGATAAAAAACAGGACATAGGGTGAGGGAGGTTGTTAGTTGGTTAGACGGTTGGTTGTTAGGTGAGAAGAAGGGTTGGTTATATAGGGG